CCGCCTCTCCGCTCCGTAACACACACAGCTGCTGCAGGTCTTCTCTTCCCCTCCAACACGTGCAAACGAAGTGGTAAAAGCAGCAAAACACCTGCAAAACTTCAGTCCTGTTTGAGGCCAAGGATAGCTCTGTGATTTGTGCTGCTAGTGCTGTGCTGCTGGTGTTAGATCCCTCTGCCCTGAAGTGCCGTTTGCCTCTCTCCGATGCAGCGCCCTGGTCGGGTCACGCAGCCCCAGGTCCGCGTTCAACATCAGCCGCTTCTCCTCGGGGCCCGGCAAGATGCCAGCAGCCCTTGCAGAGAACAGCCAGGTTATCTGCGAGGTGTGGGCCAACAATCTGGAGGAGGAGATGAGGAAGATCCGGGAGATTGTGCTCAGTTACAGCTACATTGCAATGGTAAGTGTGTTGTACCTGATTTAGTTATTACGGTGGAGGGATATTTATTCTTATATCTGTTTAGTTATATATTTGTTTTTAGGGGGCTTTCCCCTAAACAAACTAAACATTGAAACGTGAAGTTGTGAAAACTTAGAAAGCTGTTCAGTAGCAAGTAGCTCATGGATTTGTAGTGAATATAGTATTCAGTCCAGAATGAGTGAGAGGTGGGGAACTGAGAAACCACCTCCATCATCTGAAATCGTATGATATTTAACTGTTTCTCTTGCATACGCTAATGAAGTCTCAAACAGATCAGACATACAACTACATTTAAATCCAGTAGATTTCACAAACATGTTTACCCGTTGAGTGACTGTCTCATTTTGGCTATGGGAGACATCCTGGTGCTGAGGACAAAAGGAAAAGCCTGCAAGTGACAACCCGTTACCTCTGCGAGTAAATAAATATAAAATGAGCATTTTGGTGGAGTTAGGGAAAATGAGAGAATAAGTTACTCAGGAGAGGGTAGTTTAGATTATGCAGTAGTGCATATTGGATGATCTTAAAACTTTATAATTTCTGAAAAGATGCAACATGGAAAGAGGGTACCTGGAATGGATGAATGAATATAATAACCAATTATTTATTTATTTTTTAAGCATCTGTCCCGTAGCAGCCTGATTTTTTTTTTCCGTTTTGCATACTGTTATGTAAGTAATTTCAGAGAAAAATGTGCCGAAATCGGTGTTGAAACTGGAAAGTGTGCAATTGAATATATGACTGCTATGAAAGGATATGACGCCGTAAGATCTTTTTTCCCTCTCTTTACTAGGACACGGAATTTCCTGGAGTTGTGGTAAGGCCAATCGGTGAATTCCGCAGTTCCATAGACTATCAGTACCAGCTCCTTCGATGTAATGTTGACCTGCTGAAAATTATCCAGCTTGGCCTAACTTTCACAAATGAGAAGGGAGAGTATCCTTCTGGGATCAACACGTGGCAGTTTAACTTCAAATTCAACCTTACGTGAGTTCTGTGAGCTAGGGAGTGATCGTGGGTTGTTTTTCTTGTTGTTCTTTTGTTTTAAATTTACCTCTGTTTGCTAAAAAGAAGTGCATGTGCTCTCCTCAGCAGTGAAGATACCACCTCCTGCAGACCCATGCCAAAATACAAGCTGCGGTCTATAGGAAATAAAAAGTTTGCAAAATCATAAGCTTACTCAAAGGAATCAGTCTTGTTTAATGGAGTAGGGCAGTGGTTATTATCTCCTCTACAGTGTGGATTTCTTATGCAGTTGAAAGAAACTTCAGAATCCCTTCCTGTGTAGCTGTAAAAACAAGCTCAGTGCATATTCTAGAGCTACCTGGAAACATAAAGAGTTCTTCTCTGGCAAAAAATACAAATTCTTTGGAAATCAGTGTTTTATGAAAATGTTATTAGAAAACATAATAATTTTAGTTAATATATTCTGTTTATGAATTTATTGACACCAAAAGTTGTAACATTTAGTTCCTCAACTTTGTCAACCCCTTGGAAATACTGAAAAGAGAATGAAATGTTTTTGGCACTATGAATGCCACGTCTGACCCAAAGTGAATATCTCTGTCATGATCTTTTTGCCTTCTCACTGTGCCAAACAAAGCCATCTAGTGCAGAAAGCATCAAGCTTATGACCATCACTCATTCCAGACTTACTTCCTTAGCCATGTTTGAAAGGCAGAGTAGTATGCAGTGTTTTTCCACTTGCAAAGATGGAATTGGAGATGAAGATAAGGCTGTGATGTGAAAAAGAAAAATGTAGGCAGCAATGCTGCTTGTTGTTACAGAATTGCATCTCTTCCTGGTCAGGACACGTGCCCTTTCCTCTGTGCTGTCGTGTGGGACATCCACCAGCAACGCTGCAGAGAACCTCCTGCAGCTCTGTGGAGGTGGATTCTGCGCAATTTTCACTAAGAACCAAATTATCAGCTGGTTAAAACTGCAGAATATATTGCTGAGATAAGAATGGGTGAAGCTGCAGCAGTAGTGTTTAGAAAATTCATGTCAGTCAGTTTTCTTAGACAAATGTGGATGCAGAGATGACCTTAGTGGTCTCTCTGTGTGAAATACAGCTTGTGGGGCAGGTGAACTTCTGCCTTGCCCCGTGAGTGCGCTGGGTGCAGAGCTGCCTTTCCCCCTGTCCAGGGAGGATATGTACTCGCAGGACTCCATAGACCTGCTCGCCAGCTCTGGGCTGCAGTTCCAGAAGCACGAGGAGGAGGGCATCGACACGCTGCATTTCGCCGAGCTGCTCATGACCTCTGGCGTCGTCCTCAGCGACAGTGTGAAGTGGCTGTCGTTTCACAGGTACTCACTGAAACGCTGCTGCTTGTGTGTGCAGACTGACCCAGGGCTCTGCACTTCTGTGCGTTGTAAAGGCTTTGGTGGTGTTTCTTACTTGCAACATCATTTTTCTTTTCATTTTTTGTCTTATGTTTATGCATAAGGGAAGAAATCTGTGTAGTGGAGGTGCGTGTGGTGTAGCATTTCAAGCAGCTTGAGGATAAAGCCTCTTATATCTTTGATATCATTGCCAGTGAAAGGAGTGGAGGGAGTAGGAGGAGGCAAGCTGGTGGATACCTGCTGTCAGGAAGTGTTTGCAGTGGGCTGCTAGTGAGAGCCTTTGAGGAGCTCTGGAGCCTGCGCTCCCCTCTGCTAGAAAGAGGGTAGATCAGGCATCTTTTTGCAACTGGGACCATTTCAGTGGGAGATGCAGCTGACAAGTTGAAACACAGGAAGTTCCATCTCCATGGGAGGAAGAACTTCCTTGGTGTGATGGTGCCCGAGCCCCGGCACAGGCTGCCCAGAGGCTGTGGAGGCTCCTTCTCTGGAGATCTCCAACCCGCCTGGATGGACCCTGTGCCCCTGCTCTGGGTGTTCCTGCTGGAGCAGGGGCTGGACTGGGTGGGCCTTTGGGGTG